GAAATGCTCTGATGAACACAAAAAAAAGAAAAGAAAAAAAGACAGATATTCTTATGGGAACTATTAACGAGTAGTATTATCAATACCCAGATAGAAAATGAAAATAAAATATAGAATAAACTGAATTGCAACAAGAAGTGGAGGTGGGATAAACTTACCAAACAGAAGAAAGCAAATCAAAACAATTATAACCAATATGAAGAGAGAGTTAAAGAATATGAAGAGAGGGTGATTTAAGAATTTATAAAAAAAAAACTAATAATAAATGATTTAAGATAAATTTTTAAAAAACTAATTAAAACAGCCTTTCAGAAGAAAAAAGAGAAACAGTTTAGTCAAGGAAATAGTTAACATTAAAATAGGAAAAAGTTATATTTAGGATTAAAAAACTCTTGTACCTTACAGAAAATAAATTTAAAATTTCATATACTACTTTATTTCTAGGAATTTTTTATATTAGATAACAATATTTTATAATTGTTTAAAAATACATGAAAAATAACTATTTAATATTAATAATTAGGAATAGAGAATACTTTAAATTTGAACCAGTAGAGAAAAAAAGTTCAATTTCATTAAAAATTTTCCAAATTAGACATTTTCAACAAAAGTAAACAAGTAAAGAATTGAAGGACTGTTTTATTTATAAATATACACACTTTAAAGAAACAAAACCAACTTTGTTTTTTAAATAAATGAGCAAAACAAGTTTTTCCAAAAATTGATAAATAAAACACAATTTAAAGAAACAATTAACATTTATATTGGCAAAGTAAATCTGAATTTATTAATACTTGGATAAGATACTGTATTTTGAATTAATGGTACTGATTGGTTAAGTAAGTACCAGACAAACCTTTGTAAAAAAGGTGGTTTTTTCCTTTTTCTTTAAAAAAAATCTTATATTATACATAATACAGTATACTTATGTGATACAGTATTCTGAATTAATTGTACTGATTGGTTAGGACAAGAATTCTTAACTTAAAGGTTAGTTTCGAAACAATTAACTAAGCTCAGTTGTAACTACTCATCTTCTTAATATTTTAAGAACCTGGACACTCTTTTGATTTTTGTCTGGTATCAAGCTTACAAATAAGTACAGAATATTTAACAAATCGTAAGTAAGCAAACTTTTATTTTTCTACAAAAATAAGTAAAATAAACATTATCAAAAAGTAAAATTTGTAATTTTAGTAAGTAATTACAGTAAATTAATGCAAAAAATTAACGGCATTACACTTATTAAGATAGATATTCTTGCACTTCGAACAACCTTGAAATTTCCTAGCTAATTAAAATTCCTGTATGTAACCTAAGAAATTTTAAACTAGTGTTAATGATTGGAAAGAAGAAAGATAGCAAGTTGTCCTAGAAAATAGTTGAAAATGGAAGAAATTTCAAGTAATACAAACTTCTACAAGGCAAACAAATTACAATATAAAGAAATGAGAAAGCAATAAAATTAAAAAAATAAATTTAACAAATTTTTTTTTGTTGTAAGATTCCTTTTAAAATATTATGTCTTATAAATCGTTGAAAAAATAATAAAATATTATAGAAAAAGAATCTAGGTATTATATTACATTAAAACTTGCCAACAAAGATTTGAATTTCACAGAAATTAGAATGAGATAAAAAAAATAGTATAATTTAAGGAGATCTTTGTGCTAATGTGAAAAATTTTATTAGTAAAATGCAAATAATAAAATAGAATAAAAAGAAAAAGTAAAATTAAGGCTAGGCAACTGTCCAAAAATGTCTAAATTAAACTTTTATGTCAACAACAACTTTTTCAATGTTATTTAAGAAATAATTAGAGATGCAATCAATATAAATAGTTTGTAACAATGTGCTATATACTTTTTAATATTCCTGCCAATATTTTGGCACTAAAATATACTAGATAAACTAGAATTCAAATAAAGAGAATACTTTATGCACTTTACACACAAAATATAATAAAATGTACTAAAATGAATATTCAGTTGTTAAATATTCTTTTTCACTAATGAATATCCACTAAGGATCAAGGAACTTTAAACTGCGTAAATAAAAATGTAAGTAATGAGTCATAAGGTCATTTAAATTTTTTACTTTATAAAAAATTTATATTGAAGTAGTAGATTAACCCTCTGACTGCTCATTCCGCAATTTCCACGGGCAACTCAATTGTAGCAAAATCAGCTCATCCCACGATTTCCCCGGGCATGTGTTTTTCATCCTTTATTGATGTTTTTCTTATTTATTTATGCATCCGGTTTATTCCCTGTTTAAGCAGTATTAGACGTTCAATTTACATTTTGACTAACAGATGTCGTTAGTTGTCCACTAAATTGTCGTATTTGAAGGCGCATAGTGTTACCGCGGAAACTTCACACTTTGTCACTATTTTCTTATCAGAAATAGCTGCTAGAAAACGTTCAGCGGTTCACAGAGTGCACATTCCTGATTCAGATTCTGAAAGCGATTTTAGTGTGCTGTTCAAGAAAAGATGCAAATGGCAAAAAAATTTGCAAGAAAACACCAATCTGGTGTAAAGATTGTGAAGTTGGACTTTGCCTTGAACCTTGCTTTGAACTCTATCATACTAAACTGCAAAGGTATTTTTTTCTTAGTGCCTTATGTATTCTTAAATATTATGCATTTTACTTTTTTATATTATGCAATAAATAGAAATTAACAGTAATTCAATTGAAATTTATTTCAAAAAGAATTATTTTGGTGATAACATCTGAAATTAGTTTTTCTGGCAACTTAGTTCCACATGATAAAAATCTACATAAAAAATATTTTCCAGAAAGAAAAAAATGCATTTTTCAATTCTCCAATATATATAGATTTGAACTATGCAATATAAAAAAAATGCAATATTTAAAGCGATTTTGGTCCAAAAATTGAGCAGTCAGAGGGTTAAAAGAAGAAAAAAATGGCTTAAAAAGATAAATAACAACAAAAATGGGAAATGATTTGGTAAATGTTTAAAATTCTAACTAAATAAATGAATGCTCAAATATTGAAACTATTTTTTGCAGTTTAAATATAAAATGCCATTATATATACTAAAGTGAATATTTGGTTGTTGAAATAAGAACTAGTCAGATTTAAAATGTGCAAAAAAGATACACATATTGAAATTCTTAGTTTTTAGTTTTCAAAAATCAAAACAAATGCAATAGTTCAGAAAAATAGTTTTTAAAAATGATCAAAGGGGCAGAGATATGTATTAAATATAGACTTCACACAAAATAATTATGTAACAAACAGGGATGAGATTAGCCAAAAGGCAAAAAAGCTGAATTTCCACGATTGTAAATTTTACGCAAGCACAACCCTTTAATAATAAATTCCAGACAGTTTAAGATAATAAATAATCTGTTGACATACAATTGTGTACTAATCTATTATTATATAAATGTTTACATTGCTACTTAACATTTAGTGAAAATAAAAATTACCAATTGAAAAAATAAAGCTGGAAATTATATTTTTCCGCAGTTCACATAAGAGACAATTAATACTTGAAAAACTACATGGTTTAGCAAATTAAAACTACTGAGAATACTTTTAATAAATACTGTTATGTGATTTATAGCAAATATATCAGTAATATTACTTTTTAAATTATATTGGAAAAAAAAAACTTTAACAATGAACCGAATCATTATGTTCATATTATAGCCTAATCTAACTAGAGCCCTTTGAAACTTATCAATAACAGTGAAGTAGAAATATATAGTAACTCCATAACATACAAAAATTGCTATTTTAGTTTGAAAAATTACATGACAATCAGCAACTGTTTAGATAATTGTTTTTTATTTGATAAGAATTTTGCCTTTTATAGCATAAATAACAGCAAGTATAAATAAAATTTTGATGAGTTAGTTAATTCTCTTTCCAACAAAAAAAAATATTAAATTAAATCCCTTTTTAAGTGATTGCTTTTATTTGCTATATCTTTTATGTTTGCTATATTTAGTTGTTAGTTCATCTTCAAACATCTTGTGACAAATCCTATTTTTTCTTCTTTGCAAGCACAGAATGTAAGTTTTGAATATATTCCCTTCCAGTTTCTCTGATGTTGTAACACTTACATATACTAATAATCGTCATTAGAAAAACAGTCACCTTTATAGTAACTAATTTTAAAAAAATTTACTTCTTACAAGAATCGCGATAGTTGATCTTAAAATTGCGTGAATATGAATAACAATTATGGATTTTGAAATCACATGAATATGAAACTAGATATACGATTTTGAAAATGAGAAAATACAAACTGGGATATAGAATTTTTAAAACGCGTAAATACAAATCACGATTCATAATTTTTAGATCGCGTAAATACGAATCATGATGCGTAATTTTTTGATTGCATAAATAAGAATTATTATGCATAATTTTTCAAATGCGAATCCCAATGCCTTATTTTAAAATCACATATAAATACGAAAATCAATGTTTGATATTATAAACCACATGAGCAAATCAAGACATTAATTTAAAACTTGCGTGAAAACGAATCGCTATATAGGTTTTTAAAAAGGCGTAAATATGAATCACAATATCGGATTTTTAAATCTCGTAAATAAGAATCGCAACATACAATATTCAAAACGCATGAATAAGAATCGCAACACGCAAATATGAAAAGCTATGCTTGATATTAAAATCGCGTGAATAAGAATCGAGATATTAGCAGATTCCAGGCTTGGGACCTCTTAAAGGCTTGTCAGAAGCAGTGTCGTTTGAACTACAAAAATCGGATCTATCTGGAGGGCGGGTAAAAAATTTGGAAAATCTTATCTGCTGCGAGTAAAAGAGGAGAAAATAACTATAATAAGTAAAAATGAGAAAGGATTGCTAGCTATGTAGTTTGAATTTTCTGTTTCTCTTTGAAAATCGGTGAATTTTCTGAAAAAGAGGAATACTTATAAAAAAAATGAAATTCAAGAGATAAAAGTGAAAAAAGCGGAAAAATCTCATCCCTGAACAAAAGACTTTCCACTAAATAAAATATTTTCTGCAGTTAAATAAAACATAATTAAAAGTACCATAGTATATATTCGATTGTTGACCTAGAGATCAAGCAACTTAAATAGGATTAAGTAATTAATTTCTTACAAAAATTTTATATTTCATAAAGAATTAAAATTAAGAGAGAGATTTAGAAAAAATCCTGATCAAGCATTGAAATGTGTTTAACGTTAAAAATAGGAAATAATATATATTATATATAAACTTTAAACTAGGTTTATGCATAAATATTTTATGGAATTTACATATAAAACATCATGATAAAAGTGGATACAAAGTAGTTAACAGAAAGGCCAATCATCTTTAAAATTTGATGTGATGCAAGAATTGAAATTCCCGAGGTTATTACAATTTCTTAATTGGCAATTAGCGAAAATTAATAAATTACAGAAAAAAATTAGTCTTGAAAAACCATAATTAAAAAAGGATAAAGATGCGTGAAAAATATGAACCTCAATCTAAATAGGCAAATTTTCAAATATTTTATCTGTGAATTTTATCTGAAGTTTACGCAAACAATTTTAGAACAATATAAACTTAGGAGGAGGTAAAACTAAGGCATTTTATCAGTAAGCTTATTAAAATGATGAGCACTTCTAAAATTTTCAAACAAAACAAATATTTTTCTACCATGCACTGCATAATTACCCATCATAGCCCTAAGGTCATATTTTTTGAGATCTTCTAATTCACCAGGTTTACATAAAAATAGACGAGATTTGAAAGGATTTAGAGCTAAGGTTACAAACACATAATCATCTGTTTTTGGCCTGTGATAAATTCTCAACAATGCTCTTTGAGCCATATGGAAGAGAACTATATTTTGCAAAGTAAAAATGCCTAATATAAATAGAGACAACAAATCAAAAGTTGCTGTAAAAGGTCCAACATTCAAAACCACAGGCTCATGCAATACAGCTGATTGATAAGCATATTTTATAGAATAAACTAACTGAACAGAAAAGCCCAAAATACTGACAAATTGTGAATAAAATGCATAGTTGAACAATTTTGATTTGTAGATTAAAGTGTTTGTTTCCCTGTTTAATCCATCTTTTGCATGGTGACTTAAATTAGGAGCTGGAAAAGTCTCCCAAAATGAGCAGGCCTGAGTTTGAAGTGGATTTGTAGCTTTCAGAAAAGAAGAATTGGATGCCTACGAATATAAAAAGTTGTATATTAGTATTTCAGAAAAAATACAAAACAAAGCAAACATCATAAAACATCGTGCGAAACAGATTACTTCTAAACAAAGTAATATTATTCCTAAAATCTGTTGGGTCACCAAGTCCTTCATGCTTCCATAATAAATTATACCTCTGAGGGTACTGAATTAGAGATCGATCGTACTCTGGTTCAAGTCAAAAGCCAACATAACGATCAGTAGATGAATATAATATATTTCGAAGCAAAGTTTTGAAAAACTGAAGTAGTGAATTACTATTGAAGTTTTACTATTACTATTATTAGTAATTATTATTAGTAATTAGTATTAAGCAGTAATTACTATTACTACAATAGTAATAATTACATTATTACTATTGTAGTATACAACTATTTTTTTAATTTAGAGATTAAAAACTACTTTCGAAATATAAATAGTCACTGCTTAATTACATTTAGGAGACAAATTTTCTTTTCAATTTACACTCATGCATCAAATTGAAAAAAAGTTGAATATTGATAGGAAAGTTGGTTAAAAATGGTTTAGAAAAGTAATTTTGTGCCAACCTATTTGTCATGTTTTTGTTAAACCTTCAACTCTTTATGTCTTTTGTGGCACTGAATATTTATTTCAAGAAATGCTTGAAAATTATCAAATATTTGTGATCTTGTTAAGTGTTTAAAGCATAAGTTAACACAAAAAAAAGTTAAGTACAGTTGAGGCATTCTCACAGTGTCTCACTATAGATTACAGTAATGGACTCACAAAAGATTTGCAGCAATCAGAAAAAGAAGTGACTTATAAAAGAAAAGAGTGAATTACAAAAAAAAAGTGACTGCAGTAGTTTGGTACCTTGAAGTGTGTTAGTTCGGTACACTGTTTAGCAGTGATCTTCACTTAATGTGATACCCTTTTGTACTCGATTGAAAAGTTTCCAAAACAACATTTTGCAATTATTTTTAGCTGTGATATTGGAATTTACTTAATTACTTTGACATCTTAAATTAAAAACTGTACTTAGCATACATAAAAAGGATTAAAAATTAAGATAATTAAAATTTCAATTATTTCTCAGCATATATAACTAAATAGTATTCCTGAAAATTTCCTACCAGTTAAATCAAAAATATATTCTAATAGCGAGAGAAGAAACAAGAATTTTAAAATATGGCTAGCATTAATTAAAATTAAATCTAATTTATCTAAACATTTTTTTTTAACTCTTTGTTCCAGTCCTTTCATATCTGATTACCTGTCAATTTTTAATCTTTTCAAGGATGATCTCTCTAAGAGATAGTAAAAGTAAAAAAGAATTCAAGTCATATGAAGTAATATAAATATAATTTTTAGTTTCTAAGAGCCTATACCCACTATCATATGATTATCATACTTTAATATAGATGTTATATAGACAAAATCATTTTAAATTGAATTTATAAACCCAAAAACTAAGATATAAAAAAGAAATTTCATTTCCACTTTAAGTATAAAAATAAAATTTTACGCAAAACGCAAAAAAAGTTGCCAGCTTAATATCAGTACCAAATACAATCTTTTTTAATTAAATGTAAAACAATATCTTAAGGTNATCCCAAGGAAATGATTTTTAGAGAAACTTCAGAGGGAGGAAAAGGGACTTCAACAATTTCCCAAATTAAATTCCTCATAAAACATTTTAACTTGGGTAAAAAAAATTTCAGCGGAAATTAGCGGGAAAAATGGAAAAATCTGAAAAAAAGCGGAAATCCGCGAATCCGCGGAAGAATCTCATCCCTGAGAAAAAAATTTCCCAGTTCTCCAAAGCAACAATTTTTAGTATACACAGTAACAAATTATAATAGAAAAAAACAATGGTGTAGAAAACACATTAAAAAATTGAAAACATTGAAAAATAAATGCTAACATGCATCATACAAAATCATAATCACTCCTATAAGCATTTACTACCACAGAGAATTAAACCCACATAGAATCTGGCAGCTTCTAAAAAACTTTAAGGGGAATTATTACTTTTTTTTGGGTGGGGAGGAAGATTCAAATTTATCTTATTAAAAGAAAGAAAATTTTCATCCTTTTTTTTTACATTTTTGGAAAAATGTTCTATTTTCCTTGAGAGTTTTCTGAAATTTTTAAGTTATCCCTGAAACATATGAATCCTGGTATTTAAGTAAGCATATGAGAAAACAGATTTACAGAGCCATTTTTTGAGCATTATAAACGTTTTATTGACCCTTTACAGAAAGAACATTTAGAAGTAGAAAGCTATAATTATAAAATAAAGAGTGTAAATGAATAAGTAGATATTGTTTTTAAAAAATGATGCTATTTTTTAACAAAAAATTTGAGTGTATTAAAAAGACACATTTTACAAATGATTTACAATAACCTATATACCAAATAAAAAAAAAATTTAAATGAATACAAATATTATATGATTTCATTAACTTTTGATAAAATAACCAATAAAGTATAAAAAAAAAACATGTAAAGAATATGATAGTGTTTTTTATATCATACGTAATTGATTTTTTTATTCTTTACAATCGATTCTCTAATGGTGGAACATAGGCACAATTTTAAACAATTAAAGTTAAGGTCAATCCATGCACTTAGAGAAAAAAAAAAAAAGAAATGAAGAAGATTAAACTGAAAGAATAATTAAAATATAATACCAAATTTCAAAATACTTTTCTAGGGTGCGTAGCCAAATCTTTTAACAAAAAATAAGCACCTTTTAAATACTTTTTAAGCACTCAAAAAATATTTTTAAGCACTATATACATTGACAAAATGCAAAATAATTCTCAAATATTTTACATGATCATGATAAAATAACCAGTTTCTGACTAAGAACTCTTTTCTTGATTATATTAGCCATTATAAAAAGATGAGGTTTTGCGGTTCGATATCAGACGGTGGAAAATGAAGCTTGAAATCAAGAATATCTTGCAAAATGCAGCAGAGTTGCAAATGGGGGTGCAAGAATCTCACCAAACCCCCAAGTTCAGTAGACGCACACGTGGACTTTCAAGGATTTCATCAAACACGTAAAATGATTGGCGCTTTCATAGACCAAAATCAATTGTGATTAAATGAATTGTGAAAACGTTGAATTGAACAATTTGAAAAGCATGCTTTTGCTTAATAGGTGATGAAAATTGACATGGTAAAGAAAAAAATCTAAAAACTTTTTTAAAAACACCTAATGAGGAACCTTTAAGGGATTTTAAAAAACGAAAGACGAAAATCAACATCTTTAAGCACTTTTTGAAAACGCTATGCACCATGTTTTCAGTTTGAAAATATTGAATGAAAATAGCTTTAGTATTCATCATGAACAATAAAATAAAGAATCAGAACCATTTTTGATTAATAGATGCAAATATAATATGTCTGCAACATGCAAAAATGAAAGTAAAAGCAATGTATTTCCTCCAATTCAAAACATAAACTTTATTTTAAACAAGCAAAACCCATTAAAAACTATATATTGTAAGGAAAATTTTAGTGAAAAAATTAAACTACATGACAACTATATTTATGATGCAATTTAAATTATTAATCTTATTAGGTACACTATTAATATTGGTTTGATTAAACATCAGAAAATTCATCCAACAAATATTGAACCACACATTTTAAATTGAACATCTAACAAACATAACACCTAACAATATAACATCTAACAACACCTTGGTATAGTGCTTAATAAACATGCAAATCATAAAAGATATAAAAAAAATTAATTAGTAAAATTTTTTTTATTATGACTGATACATATTGCTTTCAAGGACATAGCATTCTGAATATTTTTATAGATAAAATTGATTAAAAGACACCAGAATACTATTTCATTTTTCAAAATTAGTAACAAATTTTGCTATCGCAAAACTTGAGACATAAGGCTTTGAGTTCTATAGAATTACAGATCATTCAATGTATTATTAAGATCATATAGATCATAGGTTCTCAACCTTTTTAACGTTGCCGCCCCCTTAAGGAGCAAAAAACATTTCAACGCCCCCTTTGTTATTTAGAGTATGGGGACGGAGGGACGTGTGCTGAATTAGAGGAGTCAAGATTTTTAAGCAATTTTTTTTACTCTTTAAATTTGTTTGGTTTTTTGAAAAAGAATAAATTAACTCGATAATTTTCTCACGGCAAGTAATCGCAGTCTATTTTTTATGATAAAAACAAATACGTTTAATGAAAAAAAATATAACAAAGAAACCTCTTCTTAAAAAGAATAATTTATTCTTAATTATATTATTAAAAAAGCACCCAAAATAATTTTTCTTACACTAAAAAGTAGTATCAATGAAACATTCAAGTAACTATGTTAATGAGATGATACTTAATGGTTTAAACAGCAATTCCTTAACGCTCGATTCAATACTTTTAGTGAGATGAAGACTTAAATACCCTCGTTGCACAATTTCGAGTCGATTTCTCCTATTTGTGACAAGATCGTAACAGCACTGAATCTACGTTCGACACGTTAGGAGGCAGGTAAGGCAATTAAAAAAATTTTAATGATAGTCTACAGTCCAGGATAGAGACGACTGATGTTACCTTTTAGCAAATATTCTGTGAGATGATCACCATTTCAAAGTTTCATTAGTTGAAAGTTCGACCGATTCCTCGTAAATCTGNTTATTTATTAAATAAATCTTAATTTAATAATTTTATTTGTAAGTTTTAAAATTAAATTTGAATGACAAATATGCTCATCGCCCCCTTACCGCCCAAAACACACCCAACGCCCCCCTACCACCTAAAACAAGTTCACCGCCCCTCAGCATACTCCCACCGCCCCCAAGGGGGCGGTATCGCCCCCGTTGAGAACCAATGATATAGATAGACAGATGATTTCATGCATTATTAAGCTTATATACTGAAAATGGCAATATATCAGTAAAAAATATCAATATTAATGCTGTATAATACTTTTTAAATACAAATATATTAAAAGCAAAAGTCTGCTCCAATTAAATTATTAAGATATAACAGAAATAAATAATAATTATTTTGGTGATACAGCAAAATAACTATTATTTAACAAAACAATTATATTATAAATATATTACAAAAATGTGATCCAAAGTAATTATTTAGCAGAAAAACATTTAAATTATTAAGAGCATTAGAAATTATTCAAATCCAAAAAGTTTTTTTAATTTCGGTTTGTTTCGGAGACTGTACAGTTAATGTGGTGCGTGGGGAATAGCAGTTAATATAGATCTTTTATTGTATAATAATGACATAAAAGCTGTTAAAGTTTTCTTAGTTAATATAAAACTTAACTAAAATTTTTTTCAATGTTTACTCAGATAGAATTTATGTTATCAATAATATGTACAAATAGTTTCACATAAGATGCCTTATTAAATATCTTAAAATTATTTCAAAATATGTAAACAAATGTAAAAATATTTATATATTTTTTTTAAAAAATAAATAAGCAATTCATAAACTATTCAAGAAAATTCAGGTCTTTCTTAATATTCAGGTCTTTACTTCAGAAGTCAAAGTGAACATTGAATACTAAGTGATGAATTGGTGTCATCCAACATATATTTATCTACATCTTAAAATAAACTAAACTCAGTGGCGCGACAATCCATAGAGGACCAAGGCCTACTGTGCCCCTCTCAGTTTTCTTGACCTTTGGGCTCTGAGGTACAAGAGCAAATGTTCCGATTGGGTGGTCAGCCCAAAGCGGAACCCCCAGTGTTTAGTTCCAAGCATGCTTGGTACTCATTTTATGAACCCACTGAAGGGATGAAAGGCTGAGTTAACCTTGCCCGGCCTGAGGATTGAATCAAGAACCTGTGGCATGATAATGCCAAGCGCTACCACTACTGGGTGTCACACCTTAAAATATTACATTTATACATTCTGAAAAAAAAATCTTAACATTTTCCTCACACGTGATAAATTAAGAAAACATAATTTACTATCAAATAATACCATATATGTTTTATTTCATTAAAAAAATACCAGAGTGAGTAATTGCATACAATTATTAGTGATATTATGCACTTTATAATAATAATTATTATAATAATAATAATTATTATTATTATAAATTATAATAATAATTATTCAGATAATGAAATTGAAAGTTATAAACTAAGATAGACACAAAATAAAAAAAAGGAAATATCACCCGAGTACCTCTTTAGTTGTGCAACCTAGTACACATGATGAAAATATACCCTCTGAAGAGAAAATTATGTGAAATATCAATATGTTACAATATAAATTACTTATCCAGAGATGTGATTAAACTCTGTTGAGCCATTCAAAAGGATGGCAAAAATAATCGAAAATCGGCAAATTTCAGTTTGTAATTCTCTGCCGCTTTTCAAAATATTTTGTCATATATGGAGAAGTTGGCACCGCTGCTTATCCTCTATTAATTATATCATTTACAATTACTACTAATTTTTATAAAAATTAGCAAGAATTGTAATTTACAAAAAAGGATTTTGAATTATATGGTACATTGCAAGACATAAATGGAAAAATTAATACATATTTTTAAGTTTATCCACCATTTCTGCATGTACCAACAATTAGTCACTCTTCAGAAAATGATGATAATTTGAAAGTTAATTTATAAATATTTCTTAAAGAAATTTGGATAATTCAAATAGAAAAAGTTTATTACAGAAAGAATAGTGAATTAAACAAATTAATTTAAAGGGGAAAAAAACTGTTCAAACTGGAATTAACATAAATTTATAAAATATAGGATAGAATTAAAGTTTATAAATATACATTTTAAATTAGCTAAATAAAGCAGGAAGACTGGAATATAATACAAGATTAACATTCAATACATAAAAGGGCAGTTTATCAACACTAATTAATCATAGTTTTAATCAAGGTTATATCAATATATAATTTGCAAGCAGGTCACAGAGGATTATAAATTCTTAAATACTTTTTAATTTTAAGTGGAAATTAAATATTGTTATAAGAAATAAAAGTTTTAACATTTTGATACAGCATAATGATATAACCAAGCAATAAAATGAGAATTACAAAACTTTTAAAATAATCACTTACTCTAGATGGAGTTATAAATTTAGTTGAAGCATGTAACATCTTAAGATGAGAGAAACATGAAAAGAAAGTGGTCTTCTGAAACCTGATGAGGCACAAAGAATTCATTCTTTTAAAAGGTTTGAATAACCTGAAAATATATATTAGTGTTAAGATTAAAAAATAAATATGTGATTTTTATTACAACTTCTATGACCTGACTTTTCAAAATTTTAAATAATTTTTGAATAAAATGTCTCGAATAATTTGAATTAAATAGACTATCTTTGAAGAATCATTCAAGGCAATGTCTAGGCTGAAAAATTAGACTGCAAGATTGAAAATAATAATTATTTAGTATATTCCTTGAGATTGGCTCAGATGATTTATTTTATTTCTTATATTGCATTGCTTTACATATCTTTATGCTTCTGGCTGTGAGTTTCTTGCATCAACCTATCAGGTCGAGAAATAAATTCTCAACTAGACCCCCCGAAGTTATATCCTTCTTTTAAAATTTATAGTAGGAGATGTCATTGTCATTTGTGGTTGTCCTCTCTCTCTCTTGGTCATCACAAACAGCAAGAGAAATTGCTGTTTGTGTAGGATTTGATGGCTCTTTGTGTAAGGTTTGATTATCAGCTGGACATGGTCAATATAACTTCTGCATTTCTTTTCTTATCTTTAGTTAAGGGACAAATATTGGGAGGGGGGCGGAAAGGCAATATATTAAGATAATTAAGAAAAATTTGATTTGGAAAACTCCAATCTAGTTTTCCAATTACGTTTGTTTAAATCAATTTGTTAGTTTTTGAATCATACTACCATAAAATAGCACCAATTTTACTGCTGAATTTAAAATTTATAAAACGTTTCTAAAGATATGGCGTGCTTTGTTTATTCTTGACTTTAAATCACCCTCTGTGTTGTTTTCAGTGCTCAGGGTTGGGGCAAAATATTTAAAAGGGTTTGTCACTTTCTCTTTGCCATTACAATAAATTTACTTTTTAGTTTTTAATTTGTATTTTTTTAATATTTATTTTCATTCTATTTGTTATTGTTTCATTAGTGTTATGACTGATTTTTTAGCACTTTCTTCATGTCTAGAAGACATCAAAACAATATTATCAGCATTATAAAAAAATAATAAATAAATTAATATAAAGTAATAAACAGCATAGTTAAAGTATAAGGAACTTTTTTCTTGTGCATGCATCAAATTTATTTTAAAAATGATAACATACACTTATAAATATATACTAACTGTAAAATAATAAAAAGGATAGATAATAATGATAAATTACAGAAAATTTTTTTAAAAATTATTTGTTGAATAAATTAAAAAAATATCTTTTCAAACTCTAACATAGCATTTCGCCCTTTGAAAAATATATTTATAAATATACTTATAAAATATAATCATATATTTGAGATAATCTCATACATACCTAGTAATCAATCGAATGAGAATCAGTTTCACAGAATCTTGACAAAAATGATGCCAGTAAAAAGAAACCAACAAATAAAAAATCTAAAGAAGTTTCTTTAAAAAAATTATAAACACTTCCTCCAAAGATTATAAAGTTTATAATAAGCAATTTATATTGAAAATTCCCTTCGAAACTTCCACATAATGATAAGAGAACTAATTTGGTGACTCGTAGAGATCGGGAAGTATTTTTTAGGCTGATAAGGTTGGTAAACGCAACTTGTAAAATATTATAAAAATGATAAATTACAGGAACTTTGACAAAATTCATACCCATGAAAGATATTGTTTAAATAAAAAATAATGAAATTTTCACATTAAATAAAATATTATATCATGTAGTGTATGCTTTGTCTGTAGTTTAGCAAAGGTATTCAAAAGATTTATGAAGAGCAGAGTAGGTATTGGTCATCATCACAATGGGAAGACTTCCGTATCAGAATCTCCGGCAAAACAATTGCCTAATTTTTGCCAACTGTGAAGCGTTGTACATGGGAAGCTAAAATAAAAAAAAAACATCATAGAAGGTGACTAACTTGGGAAGATTACCATATCACGATCTGCAGCTGAATAATCACCAAATATTGGCCACAAGGCAGCTATTCAGAAGAGACTAAAAAAAGAAAAAAAATGAGACGAATCATAGCCACCCAAGGGTAAACCTCAACATGTTACTTTACAAATTGCAAATTTAAAATCCAATTGGCGCCAAGGCAATTGTAGCTGGCTTGACAGTTCAGGATACACAAATATCCCCACCAACTTGTTAGGTTAAAACTAGCAATCACTCCCAGGCAAACCTATAGCTATTTTTTGTTTAAACGTTAGAAGTATGGATATTTTAGCATATTGATTATGTTATGAGATTAAGTTTAGAAATTTAACAATAGAGCAATTTTTTTTAAGAAAATTATATTAATTCAATAGATTTTCAAAGCAGTAACACACATACTAACAGATTAAACCAACTACTTTATTAGTTTTACAAAAAAAAAAAAAAAAAAAAAAAAAAAAAAAAAAAAAAAAAGAAGAAAACTATCAATATCAAACTAATAATACGCTCTCATTTTTTTATTATGAAAAAAAAAATAATGTTAGGTAAAATCCACTTCACAAAGAGGAAATCTAAATTGAATTCATACAATACAGTGTTTTCACTACAGCTTGAGAATCTCGCATATTTTTTTCTTTTCTCGCATTAAAAAATGATTACCGCGAGAAATTCGCGCATTCTATAAATCAATTTCAAAATTCACGAATTTCTCGCATTTTGGTAAAAACTTCGAATTACGCCATTTAGAATAAAATCCGTTTATCTTTTCTTCCTGGATCTTTCATTATTTTCAACATCTGCCCCATTATCTAGCTTCCCTATTTACCAGTATTGTTCAGAACCTCTTCGAACAACAGAACACAACCATGGAACCCCTTTCAGAATACATTTCTCTGCAACCACGCGTTTACCGTAGGTAAAGTTTCTTCATTAAAGACGTTCAAAATTTTTATGCACTTATGTAAGATGGACAAATACCTTGTAAAGGCAAAATCTTCTATGATGATGCACCAAAAATATTCAATGCTATAATAAATAGAAGACGCTAACAATGTGTTATAATTAAAGAAATGATTTTTTTTTCAAGAGTTTTTGTTTTTTTAGAAATCTCACCCTGTTTTTGAGAAAGGGTGAGAAATTCTCACCCATTTTTTTTCTATGATGAAAACACTGCAATATACAATTAAAAACTAAATACAAAAATAAATATTAACGCAACACTATTAATTGAAGTAAAAAATAAAGAAAAATCGAAATAATAAAAAGGAATTGATTTTACACTTTAGATATATATTTCTTCGGAGTGATCCTTTTTCAAATGTGGCCGATGCTGCGGCCGTTTTGTTTATTTGAATAGTACGGCGTTTCCGAATGCCTACTTCTGTTATCATTCAGATTGGCTGTTTTGAACCCGAAAGAAAAATAATTTTCCGGAAAGTTTTCAAGCAACAAAATAAACAGTAATTCATCTGTTCCTTCATGCAATATGTGTTAGTAGCACCATCTAGTGCAATTTCTACTAACAAAGAAAGGAAATGACAATTCCATTTCAGAAATTACTACGAATATTTATTAAACAATTTTAACAAATAGCAAAATTATGTTAATTAAAGCTATAAATATATAGAATGTTAAAAATTTATTTCAACCTTAATTTTTTAGCAAATATTCAAAAATAATAACTTTTGTTGTATACAAAAAATAGAAAAAAATTTTAAAAGAAATATTTTTCATTCACAAATAATTAAAATTTAATAAAATTAAATATAAATTGATAAATTCTAAATTTTCATGATATGACTTCGAAAAATGTTAAGTAAATAAATGATGGAAATTCATATTGGCAGAAATCAAAACTTCTCCAAAAATACTTTTTATGTAAAAATGATTTCTTAAGAAATTTTGGTGCTATTTGTTAATTGAAAGAAAGGTTTAAAGTTTTTTCCCCCTAAACAAACAATAACCATGTGTCAAAAACAGTTAGGTTCGTAATTTGATAAACAGGGAATTAAAATCAAATCTAAATAAATTGATAATGGGTGGATAAAAACAAGTTGAGACATTTGGGTAAATTAATGAAAAGTTTAAACTGAATATGCTAAGTATTATTAAACATTTTATTTGCACTAACATATAATTAAGCTTTGGTTCAAAACTGTGAGGTTAGATATAACTCTTTATTGGTTAGACAAAAATTCTCTTTTGAGATTGCATTAATTGTATTTCATTATTTTTTCACCGAAACTTTTTTTTTTAAATTTCTCATGGCATACCATTTTTTTACAATTTTCCATAATATTTATTTCTGTAGCAGTAAAGAATAATTATATTTAAAGTGACGGCCAAACTATGTTTCTTTTCCTATTAATTTGCATCAGGTTTATAAATTTAAATATAAAACAATTTCAACCAAATGAACGTATAAAAAAATTGAATTATGTATACACGTATAATAATCATAATATGGTCACTACAACTTGTGAAATTTAAAATTACAGATGTTAAAATCGTTTCATTTTGCGTGAAAAAGACTTTTAAATTACGTAAATTGCAATTTCATTTTAGAGTAAGTTGTAATTACAATTTAGAGGCTCCACCTCCAGCTCTCTAAGTAAACTAAGTTACGTGGGTTGGCGAGTGAAGTGATCACTTCACTCGCCAACCCACGTAATTAATTCTTATTCCCAATTATTTATTTCAACATGAACACGTTTCCAGAAAAGCACAGAACATTTCGGTCTTAAACAATTATCTTAACTTTATGAAAGAAAATTTTTTTATCACGTACAATTACTAGGGCTTTCAAAATAATCATCTAAACTCTTTTTATTTGACAACATGCAATCTCTCTCTCTTTCTTTTTTGCTACTTTTGATTGACATCTACTTAAGCGCGAGTTTATAATTGTTATTTTACCCTTGTAAATTAATATCTGATTTATTATGTACTAGTGGGCTTCGCCCCCTGCTCGCTAACGCTTGCCAACCCCCTAAAATTGCTACGCAATCCTATATGGTTTGCTTCGCAAACCAAGCTCGATTCGCTCGCTACTAGCTTAGGTACATTGTTTTGAATTCTTAGAATTTTGTGCATTTGCAATCATTCAAATCCATATAACAACTTTTTTTTTTAAAAAAAAATTACATCTTTTTAGTAAATACTAAGTCATTAAAATAAATTTGAATTCAAATAAATGACATATAATTCGTTAAATCTATTAGAAATGTGCTATAGTATGAAATCTTAAGATAATATTTCTAAAACTGATATCTCTTTAAAAAGGTTAAAATTTTGGCTATACTTAAGTCTATTAGAAATTGAAATAAGTGAATTGCAATGGAAAAACCTGCCTAAATTCTAGTAAAACAAATAAATTCGTGATATAAATCAAAAATCGTCAAATAAATTCGTAATATATAAATTGGTGAAAAAAAGCGCTTTCGTCAAAATACTAAAATAGGGATCTATCAACAAAGACTACTCACTCACTTCTGCCCAGCTTATGCTCTCTCTGGTTATTTCAGTTTCCGTTTTCAAAAGCGCTATATGTTGAGCCACCTGATCTAGATTTGCCATGTGACATTTTTAGCAGCAATCATTGGTCGATTTTCTAACGTTGCCATTCGGGGAGTTGTAATGAGGCTTTTTTTGGTGCCGTGTAAGAGAAATATATATATATAGATTTTAAAATTTTAATGATGGAGCAGCAGTTATTGCATCTTTATGACTTTTATATGTAGTTTTTACAAAATTTATTATGCCGCAATATTTATAATTAATTATTTAAATTGTGATCATCGGAAAGTTAAAATTGCTCACTTCATTTAAGGGCTGTTGAAAGCTGTCTAGCTCAAAACTGGCGTGATCTATGAAGTTGGTGAGACGTATGATGAAGATAGCTCTATCAATGGATAAAAAAAATGTGTTAGCAACTTTTTTGGACGTTGTTAACTTATTGTGGCTTTAACTGTTATTGATTTAATTTAAAAGATTACGCAGATATAAAGTAATAAATAATAAATTATGACAAAAAAAAACTTTAAAGAAATAATTTAGTTTATTGGAGCTGCTGAAGACCTAAAACACAGCGTAACTGGTAAATGAATACTTACATTGAAAAATAAAAATCAGCCTTTTCATTCATGTGACATTTTGAATTTGTAATTAAAATGGAGTTTTGATTTCCAACCAGTTTTATTTAAATTTTTTATCGCCCCTACGAAAGAAATTTGCTATTAGCCAATGAGATTTAACTGATCTATGTCTTAAAAATGTGTTCTTAAATACATAATTTATGCACGTTTGGAGCATTTATCCGCTGTCATTTTGTTATTCAACCTCCCATCTTTTACTTATCAATAATAAGGATCATGTGTTTTCGACAGCATTTTGGAGCTTTCACCCACACAAATATTAAGACCCATGTCTAAAGAGATCAAATTTTAATATTACGTAGTATTGTCAAAAATATGTCTTAATATTTTTCCAATTATTCTCATTTCTACATTGGTGTCAATATTTTTGTTGCTCAAATAAAATAAAGCTGCAGTCACAATAATATCAAATTTAATAATTATCGCTTCCTATAAAATACCTGATATTTGTCATATTCAATACTTCTATGTGTTTTATCGGCAGCCGGTGACCTGCCTAAATCAGAACCTGGCATTGCATTATTTGTTGGCAAACTTGGTTTCATTATCACTTTCTACCAATAACCGATAAGTACTGATTTTTCTTCTTTTTTTTTTTTAATAAGGATTAAGATTTTTCATTTAAAGGATAATATACAGTTTGAGAATTTAAAATTCGTGATAAAAAAAAGACGTGAACACTTAACTGTTATTATTGATAGTTATAATGAATTAATATTAATAGTTGACAATTAATTATCATTATTGCTTATTAATTAGTTTTCTTTAAAGAAAATTCCAGAGAATTTCTTTATATCTATATAAAATCTGCTATTTTGTATAAAGAGTCATTAAAAATTCTACAAAATATGAAAATAAAGCTTTTTTTTGCCCTGAAGAAGAGGCCTGTGATAAAATTTGTCTTGGGACCCGTAAAACATTTATTTAGTCTTGAATGTAGTTGTCTTCTTTCTCCGCTGGACTACAGCTTCCGTGGGCTCCTATTAGGCACATATCAAGTGGGTAATTGGTTTCACCCCAAGAGCCGAGGTTATAAAAACAAACAGTACAGTGCTACTATTGGACGAAATGTTTATTGATTTTGTTGTTGTAGCTTATCTTCCAACTGTCTGATGAAGTCAGACAAGATGTATTATGACCCTCAAAAAATCGTAAACTACGGGAGAATCGTATAAGTCCTCCCTGGAAGGACCCAAGCTGTCCTGGAAGAGTTCTGCAAAGGCCTGCTGAGCTTGACATTTTGAGC